CGTATGAAGGATATTCGAAATGCAAGATTCCCATCAGGCGAATCCCACCAAAGGACATGAACACAGGTTATCATTACTCGAGACAAGCTGCCGTGTTGCAACTCGAGCGAAGAGTCGACTCGAGCCGTGTCGGATTTTCGGAAGGCGGACTACGAGTCGGATCTTCGGAAGGCAGACGACGAGGCTGATCTTGGCCGTCGAGAAATCCCCCTACGGCATCTGACTCCTTCTCGCGTCCGGAGCTTCACGGAACCCATCCCACGCTGCGCACAAGCTTTTAGAGAGCCACGGTCGCGAACGACCAGGGTGGGACGCTCCCGGATCCGGAGTTCGAGAATTGTTGAGTGTCTCGGAGAATCACAGGGGCCCCCAATATCAGTGCTCGGCTGCAGTCTCGATTTCAGGGAGCGCGAAGCTGAGTGAGCTCCCCGCATTCAATTAGGGACTAGAATGCTTTCCGGCCCATTGATACACTTCGTGAGGGACCCACCAGCCACCAGCTCGGTACTCCCCCGTCTCTTGGAGCACGGGTGAAACGCGGTTCTTCCAGGAACGGAGTCAGCGGTGGAACCCGTTGACTCCGACTCAGCGAGCGGACAGACGAATCAATAGGGGGCCGCGATACGGCGGAAGATTACCAATGGAGCCGATAGATCTCAATATACCCAATCGCCAGCTGCGCTTCGTAGAACAGGCTGCGGAACCGTCGGTCTCCGCGGCTCACAGCCCGCTCCAAAGAGATACAGACAACGAAATGTGTCTCATAGTGTTCCAGTAGGTCCCAATGACCCGCTACGGATTCTCTCTACGGTTCGAGGTTGGAGAGACGCGGGTTCTCAATGATAAACCCAGCGAGAGGGGGTTGCTACGAAAACCGAATCGCTAACGCCGGCCGTCGCATTTCTCGGTGGATCTCGGTGCCTTCCTCGTTTAGGGTGATCTCTCAGTCAAATGCTTCCCGCAAAGCTATCGACGACTCCCGCGACTCTGCCTTGCGCACCTATCAGAACATCGATCCCTGCGAAACGGGTATCGACCACAAGAACCGTACCGGAAGCTTCCACCTTCATCGAGTATTTCACCTCAAGAAACTCCGTATGGCTCGTTCTCCTGACGATTGACTTGGCTGTGTCTGTGCTAATCTACGCTTGCATCAGCGGACCGAGATCGAATATTCAGCAGCACGGTGATATCATCTTGACGGTATTCGCGCTCACGATCATCTGTTTCTTATTGGTGAAAACACTTGAATATCTTCTGCTCTTCAGCTTCGATCGACTGAGCGCTGCGCGTTCAGCACAAAGGGTTTGTTTCGTGCTCGCAGCGATCGCGTTCGGTGTCTCCGCGGCCATCACGCTCCGTATCCGGCATGTTCCGCCGCTAGTTGCGCAAATCTACTGGGGTCTTCCTCCGCTTGTCGTTCTCTTTCTTCTACAGCTATGCTTGAAAATCCACGAAATGACAAGAAACTCCGAGAAAGTTCGTCTCAAATGCGCAAACATTCAGTTTGTTTGAGATGACGAGCCGGGAATTCGCTCGTGAATCCAGCCCGACCCATTCCTTCGATACGGACGACTCTCTGTGATTCATTATTCGTCTTGTTGAATTCTCCAGTTCATCTGTAAAAATAAATGCTGCTCCAGTTTTCGTGACTCCGACTTCTTTGTCTGGGAATTTCTATAGGCACTCGTGCCTCATGACATTTCGACTTCGAGCTGATGGAATCGACAGTTAAGGGGTCACTGAGGCACGAATGATTCCGACGCGGTCGCTCGACTCTCGATATTGTCATTAGGAAGACTCAAACTCAATATCACGGAACCCTGGCGCTCGCTCGCGGGATAGTCGTAACAGGATGATGTCGGTGTTTCTGGCGCTTTTCCGTAGATAGTTTATTTGCGATCAAGCGAAACGCTGAGGCTCAGCATGCCCGTCGCTCAAAATCCATCGAACAAGCATTCGCATTTACTGTTGTGTCATTCCTGTGTCGGTCGACATCGATCGCGGTTCGACATGACCTCAGTGAACTGCATACTAGTAGTTATAGCGTTTTGTCTCTCGAAAGAATTCGTTCTTGGCTATCACGATGAAGCAAATCGTGACGGCGGCGGCTGCCGTGGCTACATGGAAAAGGTTCGTATGCGGGAGAACTCCCAGACCATAAAGAGGACTCCGGTTACATGCCGAACGGATATAATCCATCCCCGTCGAAGGAGCTGTGTTCCGGTAGTATCGTCAGTATTTTGAATCGCAGTGTCAACCAAACCATCATCGATGTTGCGCCGGTCTACACTGCGTCTACCAAAGATGTTACTGGTCGGGCTATCGCAGTGATTTGAGAGAGTACACTCTCAAGTACATGGAAGCCGAGCGGAGGAAGATGGCTGCCAAAAAGTACGCCGAGCAAATGGCTCGACAATTCAACGAGACACAGTATCCGTCGCATGGGAACGATCCGTACGCGCCGAAGAAGAAGGACGACCGCGAGGGCGAGAAGAAAGAGGGTGGCTATGGCTTCTTGTATCTGCAGGATACACGGGATCCGAGGGTTTTGCAAGCTGCTCCTCTCCCTCTAGATTACCAGGGAGATAATAGGAGACAGGGCTATCCGGAAGATCGACGACAGAGCAAAAATTGGAATATGGAGTGGAATCGTGATCAATGGAGTGATAAAGATTGGAACGCAAGACCCGTCGTCGACGCCCCGTGGTTCTACCCAGACGGTCGACCGTCTCAAGTGAAGATGATCCTGCGAGGCCAAACCCCACCACCGAAGTATTGGACAGACGCCCCGAAAATACCCCTGTCCGCGTGGTGACTCCGGTGATTAACGTCCGTCGTGTAAATTTAGAAGAAGCGCATGGCATGAATGGGGATGAGCTCCGGCGAAGTCTCCGCCAATCCATATATGCATAATAATAAATGTTACCTCGAGACCGTGAATCCCTCGCTCCTTGGAGGTATCGAGCTGAATTGAAATTCGGCTCCTCCGAATCGCGGGAGCGGCTGAGTATTCAAACCCAAAGTTGTTCGCGGGAGAAGAGAGGGAGACTGGACCGATCTGCTGGGAATCGCCCTTGAGATGGAAGGGATCTGGTCCTGTGATACAGTTTCGTAGGATCGTATGGATCAAAGACCATGAACCATGAGGTCGAGCTAGATTTGGATCAGAGGATGGAAAGTCTTTCTTGAGCCGTCCGTCATTCGAACTGAGTCCACGAGTACAAGCTACCAAGCATTCAGTGAGGGCTCATACGACTCGTACCACGCCAGGTTATTTTGAACCCGAGGGTCTTCATGTCTTCTTAAGCCCTTCGCCGCTGCTACATATATCGGATTTACTACTTGAGGGCATCAAATTTTATTTCCGAGCTCAGGTCGAAGAGGCCTACGGTTCCGATTCGCCGCATGAACTTGCGCTCGAAACAACGGCTCTGATTTTCCCGAGCCGTTTCCCCTCGTCTCCTCCAGACCCACTTCAGGAAACCTCAGGGGCGCAAGTCTGAGATTGTACCGCAACTTCCGACAATCAGAGGCGTTTCCTGAAAATTGAAGGCGATCCCGCGAAGTTTTCCGAGCCGAAGAGAGCTCTCTGACACCCCAACATTGCTTGAGCTCAACCACAAGTTCGGGGGCACGTCCGGATCAGGATGCGCCGCCAGGCTTCCAATCGCGAAGCACCTTCGTTATCGGGCCCAGTTTCATTAGCGAGCCGCGGAATCGGAGGAAACTCTTCCGCGATCTACCGGATATTTCGAGGGAGTCTCGGGGTTTCCCGCGAGCTTCGACTTTCTCACAGCGGTACAATGCGATTCCGACTGCGACTTCGCATCCCTAGCTACACCCTATCGCCCCATCCCAGAGGCTCAGTTTTTTCCAGTCTTCGTTCCGACTTAAGCTCCGCGGAAGTACGGTGGGCAGTTCCTAATGACGATCGAAGTCTGCAGACGATCCTCAGCTTCCGGGAGAGATTATACAATATTATAGATGGCTGCAACTTTTGAACCGTCGACTTCCAATACGGCACGATGTCAAGGCGTTCACTTGGATCTGCCCAGATATGTGGACCGCTCCAACTATCAATTCCTCCTGTCACTCCTCACATCGGAGCACCATGACCTGCTTGCCGCTGATGGGTAGAGGTTCTGCTTCACAAGTCTCGAAGTTTCATCACTTGGCCATCGGAAACCGAGGGAATTCGACGATGCTCATGATGAACATAGATACCGTCTTGAGTCTCGACCTGTTTTCCTCTTCCGAAATCGGTGGGTGAGTAGCCCTCCCCCGTCCCCGAGAACGGAAGAAGTACGCGCGCAGGGATCCATGCTATCGTGGAAACCTCCGAGTCTGATTTGAGGTTTAGTCGTCCTGCGCTGAGTTCCCCGGGGACGCCCGTGGAAGACGCGAGAGATATTCATGAATTGAAAATAAATATGATCGATGAGGAGCGCTGGCTAATCAAAGTGCTCAGCTCTCATTTTCGCGAGGGAGCGTTTTCTTGGGGACCGCCTCCATGGAACCGGAATGAAGAATTGCGACCCTGCCCATGAGATCGATTTCAAGGGAGTCACTCGTATTCGATCAATGTAAAATATCGCTCAACTTTTACTGCGGTCAGCGAACCCGATATGGAGTGCTTTTGAAGTTTGTGGCGAGCGTAAAGGCGCGATCGGCGAGAAAATGTTCTTCCAGAAAAAAACTCAGAATACATCTGGACGGCAGTGATTCGCCGCTCTGGCAACGTTCTCCGGAATCATTCGGTCTGTCGAGTGTTTGTCTGTTGTACGCCAGATAAAAGCGAGTCTAGGCAGGGCCGAGTACAAGTCCTTGTGCTTCAGAGCCGAGAACCTCTTGCGGTACGTGTCTCCTTCGTAATCGCGTTTCTCGACCAAGTGACTCAAGGAGCAGTTCCCGTTGCCGAAACGATGCTGCTACCGGTTATGAGAGCGCTATTTTGTGCGACCTTTTTGCTTAAGTCGTCAGGCGCACATCCGTGGACAATGAAGGCAGACCAGTTACAGGGTTGCTACGATTTCATCATAGGTGAGTTTGATCGGAATTCGATTCACTAACTCCCCCTGTCTCCCGTCACGAATGCATTGAATTCAAAGCTGCGAACACGTCTTGGAAGGGAGTCAGCGGAAGTTCGCAGAACTTAGCTGACTGGCGCGGCTAACATGAAGTTGCGTCCTTCACCGGTCGCGACAGGAAACCTTCGAATAGTCACGTCGTTAGACAAGGCTCCTCTCGTATGCAGCATTCAAGCGATTTCTGTAGTCATACAGGAAGTCCTCAGGAAATTCGAGTGTTCGCTAGAATTGGATTTCCTCGCGGCCGTCACTGGAGCCAAGAGCGGATCGCGCACAATTTTTGAAGATCATTTATTTTTTCTTCCCAAAGTCGGAGCGGGATCGGCAGGATGCCGGTTGGCGGAAAAGCTTTCGTCGCACGCTGATCTGGAAGTCTTGCTGTTGGAAGCCGGGAAGAGCCCTCCGGATTTCACGGCTATACCTTTGATGACGAGACTGTCTTTCGAGACAGACGTTGTTTGGAGATACCGGGTGGAACCAATGGAAAATGCTTTTAAAAACAAGGCGGGCCAGGTGAGACTCGGATTCTAGGATAATGGAGAGCCCTTCGACGAAAATCATTTCGCTCACAATCCGAGTGGCTATTCAAACCGGCCGTATGGGGGGCTTATTTCAACACTCGTAATCCACAGCCTCAATCGTTCATCGGCGGAAGAGTTCTCGGTGGCGGGAGCACCATCAATCTGATGAACTACGAACGAGGGGATCTCACAGACTACGATCGATGGGAGAGCGAATTTGGTGCAACTGGTTGGAATGGTCGGTCAATGTTCGACTCCTTCATACGAGATGAAAACAATTTGGACTACAGTATATCTGGTAAGGACGAGCGATATTCAGCTCCGAACGCATCCCTTGCCTGGAGATGGCCTCGAGTTGCTCCCGTTATTTCCGCAGGTAAAGACCACGGCAGGAAAGGGGACCTGAAAGTCTCATCATCCTATGACACAAACATCCTGAAAGCTTTCTTCAGTGCTGCTCAACAGCAGGGTTACGAGGTTCGGGACACAGGCAATGGCTCAACCGAAGGTGCGGAGGAATAAGTATCAAGATTCGAGATCCTAGATGCAGATAACCTGCTCAATCCAGCTATCAGGACGAACCATGTTGGATATTCCTCGAGAGAGAAGCCAAGAAAATGTATTGAACATTCTGCAGGCGTGTACCGTATGCAGGCGACCATAGACGAAAACGGACGCCGATCCTCGTCGTACACTGCATTCATCGAGAAGCACTGGGGTCGACGAAAGAATCTTCACATACTCACGCAAGCGATCGCAACTCGAGTCCTCTTTGTCCGCGGAGAAACGTACGCGGTCGTCCTATTCAAATTATGATTCATTAGGTATTGTCATTATTAGGGCCCGGATTTCTATGCATTTTCATACAAACGCATACTGCATATATCCGCATATATTCGCATATATTCGCATATATTCGCATATATTCGCATATATTCGCATATATTCGCATATATTCGCATATATTCGCATATATTCGCATATATTCGCATGTATTCGCATATATCCGCATGGATATCGCATATATTCGCATGGATTGCGCATATATCCGCATATTCATGCGCATATTTACGCGCATACTTATGGGCATGTTTCGCATGTTTTCACGCATATTTTTACGCATAGAAATCCGGGCCCTAGTCATTATCATTCGGGAGGGGGGGGGAGGAACCGATTAGAAGAGTGCAGGGAGCTGCTCGGACAGAGGCAGAGTTTTCCAGGAATGAAACCGTAGCGAAAGGTTTGGAGCTTCTTCACGACAATCGATCGAGGAGGGTTTGCGCGCGGAAGGAGATCATCCTGTCGGCCGGTGCTATTGAAACCCCTCACCTCCTCATGGTCAGCGGCATCGGACCGAAGGAGCACCTCGAACAAATGGAGGTAAAATTAGATGTTGGGCTTTGTAGATCAAATCGCCCCCGAGTTCCGAAGGCTGGGATCAATGGCCAAATATTTCCTTCCCGGGAGCGATGATAATTTCAGTAGTATTCTTCTAGATCAAAGTTCTCGCCGACCTTCCAGTTGGACGGAATCTCCAAAATCACGTAGCTGTGGGAGGTATTGAAGCCATTATCAACTCGACGTCGAGTTACGAGATCCCAAGCCTTAACGATCTACGTTCTCTCAGAGAATGGTACAAATTCGGTCAGGGCCCCTTCACCTCTCCGTTCGGAACACATCTCGGAGTGGGATTTTTCAAAATGAACAAAAGTGATACGACTCCGGACATTGAAATTATGTTGCAAGGTGTCAGCGACGATACACCGTGTGACTCACAGGTACTTATGCTTCCGAAAGAAAGCAAGGCCGTGTGCTGGTCTTAAGACTGGCGGGAGATACTTCTTCGGACGAAGAGTTCTGAAAATCCGTGAATTCCAGCAAACGACGCGATTCAACGCAACTTTCAGCTCTCTCGCTATTTTGATGCATCCGAAATCGAGAGGATCCGTCGAGCTGCGGAGTAGGGACGCTCTCAGTCCTCCCCGTCTCAGACTGAACTATTTCGATCACGAGGACGATCTAGAAATTCTGGCACAGGGTGAGACTTTCCGGCTCGGATGCCTCGATTGGTGGGAGCTCATCCCTTATACGTTGTGGGTATCGAACTCACAGGACCCTTCACTTGAGCAGGAGCGAAGTTTTCATACGACCTCCTCCTTTCGGAGGCGTTCCGGTCCATCGGAGTGACACCGAAGCAGCCAGTGCTCGAAGATTGCGCAGATAAGGAATTCAACTCATTGGAGTACTGGAAGTGTGCTGTCGCGATTAACACGGTGTCTATGGGACACCCGGTGGGAACGTGTCGGATGGGCTCCGCAAGTCGCCAAGACACCGTCGTAGACCCCGACCTGAGGTAAGACATTACGCCCCCCCCCCCACCTCCTTCCAGCTTCATTGTCGATGAATTATGGAGCAGATGAATAATATCTTAATTCTGAGCTCGGACAAGATTCTTGCACGATGTTTATCTTCCATATCGATTTTCCCTCTATCTTGAACTAATCTTCGGAGCATCCCCTCTCTCCAGGGTGAAGAATGTTAAGAACCTGAGGATTGCTGACTGCTCGATCATGCCAACATTGAACACCGGACACACGAACGCGCCAGCTATCGCGATCGGGGCCCGAGCGGGGGATATAATTTTAAGGGATTACAAATGAGCTTGTGGAGTTGCTTCATTTGTGAATATTCTGCGTGACTGAACCGTGAGGACCATACAATAAGATGCCGGCGGATTTTTCAATGAAAAAAGATTGGGGAAATGTTATAAATCATAAAGGGTCTCCTCTGAAAAGGCTGGTCTGCTATCCTGTCATTCAAAATCGCCATTGTGCTCCGCGCTCCCGTGTCGAAAACGAAGCGCCCGATTCTCTCGAAGCAGCATGCCGGCGTTAGGAAGACTCGACGATGACGAACCCGCTGCCGAGGATGGCACCAAGGAGGAGCCCGAAGCGTCTTCGGAAGTCGCTGATGAGGACAAGAAGGATGAGCCGAAGAAAGACGAGCTGAGGAAGCCCCCGAAAGACTCTCAGGCTGACAAAAAGGCTCTTCCGAAAGAGGCTAAGAAAAGCGCTGAGGGGAAGAAATCCGCGGGGAAAAACGCGAAGAGCGCCAAAAGTGCTTCCAAGTCTTCGCTTCCGAGTTTCTGTTGTGTAATTGCGTGAGGAATTCAATTTGGAACTCGGTCGTGAGCATGGCGTATGAGAATAAATGTTCTGTGAAGCCTCTAGAGTCTAAGCACTCCCGTCATCTTTCGCCGATATATTGGCGGAAATGCGGGGTAATTCCGGATATCAGGATAAAGATCGATGATACCTTCTTCGCATTGTGGCTTGAAATCGACGGGGGATCGAAGCCACAACGAACGGGTAATCAGAATGAGCTCTCCGGTAGAACAGGCAACGTGCGTTCGTATTTAATAAACAAAGTATTTACAATTGTGAGCGCATTCCACAAAACCGGCCTCAAGAAACGAGTGATCATGTGGAATTCGAGTCGACATATTCGCAGATAACTCGGTCACCCAGCGTACACGCCGATGCGCTTTGGTCGTCTTTCTTCGATAGCTTATCTTTCGCCTCCCGGACGGTCTTGATCAAGCGCGAAGTCCTTTGGAGCAGTTCGTCGATATCGAGTTGATTTTCGTCCGGCAACGAGGCCGTCGTAGCCTTGAGGACCTCGCTGACTCTCTCCAACTGTTTCTGGAATCGCTCTGCCGTCTCCAGACGCTGCTTTTTCTGCACATCTAACATCACCCTGCAAAAAGGAATATTGATTGTTGCCGGATCAACAAAGATCGTACGGGATACGTTTGGCTCTGACGGCGGATTTCCGAGGAGAATTCGATATATCACTCGAAGAATGTACAAACCGTAAAGTTTCGCGAGCCTGGTGGGGTCGGAACTCATTTATCAGGTGATGCATGTGCACAAATAGCAAGTTGAGATCGTCTTTCTTCTCTGTCAGTTTGATCGTGTCAGGACATCGGACGAGAATGTCGAGCATATCGAGAAAATTGACCAAAATTGAATGATTGAGCTTCTTGAGCTCTCGCTTAGGGTCATAGCTCTGGGGATGGAGCCGCTTGATCCCCTGGGATTCCAGGGGCCGGATGATCGGATCGTCGGGATGGAAGGGAGCGCCGAACATTTTATAAGCGTCCGTAATCGGTCTCGGCGGGGAAGGTGCCTTCCCTTGGAGAATGTTTTCATCTGTATACAGGTTCACGAATTGTGGAGGTAGCGGCAACGAGCTCGAAGCTGTCCGTTCGCCCATCTGTGGACAAGCGAAGACACGTGAATATTCTCGGATCCGCTTATCCCGGGTCATCTGATTTGCGGTGTCGCATGGTATTACGGATTCACCTGACCGCTTCCACGTCTGGGGTCTTCACTTATACTCAATTCTAACAAACCTTGAATCGTGAGAGAAGCTCGCTCCGAGAGTTGAGAAAACAGGGAGATATCCCGTAATAGTTCCAGTGTCCGGCAAGCCGGGAAATTGGATATCGGCCTCAAGGTAGTGTTCTTAAGATGGCGGCTGGTGGACCACTCTGTTTTCGTTCGACACGGAGGAAGAAAATGTACACAAACACAACACTGGGAGAGAGAGATCCCTCTCTCATACTCGCTGCCGACACTCGCCGTGTGATGCGACTCGCTCCTCACCGAGGAGCGAATCTCATCGTGGCGCCACTGGTGGATCTCTTCAAGCACAGCGAATATTTTGCCCGATAATTTCCCCACACGCCCGCGGAGGAATCTTTCTGGCTCGGCTGATTTCCCACTTTCTGAACGGAGTCAAGTCGGAATGGGTAATGCCTAGGAAAACGCTCGTTCCCGGCCCGGAAAGCAAAGCTCGCAATGTCTACGTTCTCGATCAGTCCCTGGTCTCTGCTGGACTCCTGGCTGTTCTTCGTTTCGAGTCATATTTTACCCAACTGATAGGTCTAGTACGAAGATTCTTCCTACGACGAATAACTTGCGGACGGATCGATTAAGAACTATCATCGGGCTCCCCGTCTAGGAGCACAGTACCGACTCCAATGAGGTTTCTTCTCATGGACAATAATTCTTCGGAATTCTCGCCGTGCCCTGGATGCAGTTCCTTCCCACTCCGATTGGAGCTGAACATTCAGCTGACGTTTATTTCAATGTACATTTCACATCGGGACTCTTTTTTCGCTATCTACAAGTCGCTCTCGTGCATTTTCTCCCATTCGGCAATGGATATTATAGTCAGATCGGATCTCTCTATTGGCGTGACATTACCATTGTCAAGGATCGGTTTTCGTTCTGACTTAGCCTTATGAGCTTCGATGTTTTCGACGTATTTTTCGTTGTAGACAGGTATAATTTTCGTGTCTTTGACAACGCTCGCAATGTCTTGAAAGTAGTGTATGTCAAAGAGGATAGAGTCTTCGCTCGAGTCCAGCGGATCGTCGACCCAAACTCCTGTAAGCGGAGTCTGAGGATGAGGGACGATATCGAATTTCCCATCTAGAGGGGAAGCCGGGCCTCCCGGTCCGCGTCGGAGTTATCAAGAAGCGACCTTCCGCCCAGCTCCAGAATCGGGTCAACGATCCTCACCTCGTAGTGTCGCGATGCTCCACACGTTGAGCACACAGAGCATGAAGGCCGAGACGATTGTAACAAACCACATGGTGAAGACATGCTTCTGGAAGATCATCTCGAAGAAAACCCATGTTCCCCGCCAATAGAAAACGGCAGCTGAGACCACCAGGAGCTTCCACGTTTGCTCGACCAGGAACCGCGGGATTTTGCTGAGAGTCCTGAAAGGAAAGGTGCACTCGAGGCCTCCGATATCCTGGCGTACTCAAGGGTTCAGGGTCCTCGTGGAGGCTCGAACTCCTGTCGAAACCTGTCCATCTTCGTAGTTCCGTTGAACCTCAAGGAAGCACGCAAGCAGGGCCAAACCGTGTGAAACTCACTTGACGCAACGATTGATCGGGAACTGAGCGATGTAGAAACTCAGAACTGCCGCCGATCCGCAACTCACTGAGACGATTCCCGACATGACATGGTCATCGACAAGGATTCCATGATCCTGTATATGCCACAAACCTCGCCACAATAGGATAACAGCGGGGTGAATGAAAAATACTGAGTAAAGATGATCTATCAGTCTGAAGGCCTTGTTCCGCTGCGACTGAAAATGATTGCTCACAATCAGTCAAGAGCGATCAAACTCCTGTGTCAAATACGCGAGTGGCACAGGATGTAAACTTATACTTCGATAGGACCTGACCACATGAGAAAATTTCGATAAGGCCACGAAATAATTCGTTTTGTCGTCCGCCGTCAGGACGAAGGGCACCACTCCAGTGATGCTTTTACAGCACCCGCTCGCGGAAAGCAGTAGGAAACCTGTAGTGAGGGAACCTGTAGTTTTCTCCGACGCAACACCGTCTCGCGGGGCAGCGAAATCGCTTTTGCATCGACGAATGCGAGAAACCGACGCGAGTTACTAATTATCACTGTGAGCGAGTCCCATCGGCATGATCAGAGATAGTCATTGAAACTAACCGACCGCAATGCTGATAGCTGCGGAAAGGACTCCAGACGGCAGATAGTATTCCAAGATGTACCAGAAACCTGGAAATTACTCGTTTCGAATGAGAGGTTCGATCTGAAGGCGATACCGCAGAATGACGGGGAAGATCCGGGAATGTATTCCAATGAAGATAAACGGGTTGTGGGATTAGGTAGATCGGTCAGGTGAGTCCTTCATCTTGGGATTGCCTTCGCAACACTCCTCTACGGTTTATGTGCCTCATAAAGTTTATGATCAGCTCTCCGATATGAATGAATTTATGATTTACAAACTGTTTCTATAGGCCAAGTCTGTGTATATTCTCTTATTAACTGACCTCTCCATTGGAAGACGATGATGATTATGAGCAAGATCGAGTAAAGCCGAGCCAGCGGGTTGTAGACGACATCGTTCGTGTGAGCGAGTTCGGTCAACTTTTCGTGCTCTATGTGACAGATCAAAACCGCGCCGAATCCTAGTCGGTACCGGAGAGATGAGAAAGAATATCCAGACGAAAACTTCTTCAGTCTGATTCATTCCTCGTTACTGAGGCTCGATAAGGAGAAACTAAACCGAAGTTTAAGTGTATCAAGGCTCAGACGAGATCATTTTATTCCGAGACCTATCGTTCACTAGCTATATGGTTGTGGAGCTCGGTCAGACTCCATCCGCGTTCCGGATTCGTCCGAGAATCACATACAACGCACCCAAGCGGGCACAGATAGCCTACCGAAATGGACCCGGGGTCAGTCTCACCTACAACGCACGTGAACCAAATACTGAAGACGTAGTCCGTAGGGAAGACGTATTCGTCGACGAGGAAGAACATCCCGCACCAGTACATGGACACAAGAGGAGCGACAACTGTCACAAGAAGTAGATGATCACATGTTTTGAAAAATAAGTGTCGGCAGGCCATGATTCGATGGACAATTATGTCTTCGCCGTCCTATCACAGGGAGATTCAAACTGTTCCACAGGCATTGCATGCCGCTCCGAGTTCGCGATGCTGTACTCAAACCATTCCAGAACTAGTTTGGAGGAAGGGGCAAGCGGCCTGTCGTAAACACGCGGCCTTTCATGTTGACCTCACAATGCCGGGCTATCGGCGCTCTTAATAGACGACTAAAACCTTTTCGCACTCGAACCCAAGTGTTCCCCGCCGTCGATCAACTATGTATCGAAGGAGGAAATCAAATCGCCTGCGTCGTTTCCTCAACGAGACGCGGAACGCACCATGCTCTTTCACGGAGGTTAATCGGAAAATCGGCTCGTTCTTGCCGAATGGTGTGGAATCAGGGACATTCTCCCTTGAGAACTCTCATTTTCAGATCTAGTTTGAGCAGAGGATGCAGCGATCGATAGGATAAGTAATATTCATCCTCGAGCGCTCACCTAGGGCTCAGTCAAGCGTTCATCTACCGAAAACGTCTGGATTTCTTATTCTCTCCTGGGTGAGCATCCATATCGACGACATCCCTGATTCCGCTTGGAGAACTGAGCGATCATTCGAATAATTTCAGGGATTCCACATCGACTTGGGGTTGAGGCTTCTTGATGCGCTCCCTGCTCAGCAGGGCTCAGAGAATTCGGGGACTGTGCTCCTTGGGGAATATCCCCGATAGAAGCTCGAGGAGCAGAACTGTATATCCGGGCGTCCAGAGTCCAGAGGCGTCTCGAAATTCTGTCATGTTCTGGGCTTTCTTTCGACGGGAGTTTCTGCGGAGATCGCCAGGACTTCCGAGGAATTCAGCATAAGAAGAAATGGAACGAAAAAAGGCGATCTTAGTGGTCCGCCGAGCGCTCGACGTCGAGAACACCTTGCGGTTATCTATCAATATCCACAATTATCCTCGCCTCTGAGTCGTCATTGGCGATGACGTGGATCAGCCGCTGCTTGAAGAGCTCTTCAGTCGTTTTGCGAACCGCTTTCTCGAAGGGCGAACACTCGACCGCTGAGCAGCCAGTTAGAGAGCTCCGAGCCTTGATTGACGGGCGGATTCCTGTGTCAGGCTTCAATCATACATGACGAGAATTCTCTAAGCGCCTCCCATTCTACCGATCGCGCTCGATTCAATCGACATATGGAAATCGACGCGCGATGCGAGCTGCGATCAATGAGTCAAATTGGGGTCTAGGGTAAGGAATCATAAAAGAGATCCGATGATAAGTCGGAGTTTTCTCGGGTGGCGTGAATTAAGGCGAACTTCAACGCGTTTATTCGCGCATATCACACTTCAAAGCTGTGGGGGAAGCTTTTGTGGTTCGAGCAGAGATTTCCTCGAGGGGAATCATTTCAGCGAATGGACTTACTCAGTCCTCCCCGACCGACGCGACGTCCATTGCCGGAGTCGCTGACGTGGCGATCAATAGAGGAATCGATCTATCGATCGACGAATCGGACTAGGGCTCACTCGACTGCGATCTTTCATTGCGGCGGGGGAAGCAATCGACAGAGGCCAACAACCGTTTGGTTCGTTTCGATTGGAGGAGCTCAGCGTCCATAACTGGTAAGGCTCCGAGAATGTTCGCAGAGGTTGCCGTGATGTATAGCCGTCAGGGCGCAGTCCCGAAAATGTTTCCGCTCGATAGGCATCGGAACTATTTTTTTGTTAGGAGTTTCAGGGTTTCTTCGGGAATTTTATGCGAGACACCGTACTTTTTGAGATGAGATCCTCCCAATATCACAAGCAAGCCAACCCTGAGGATATTGTATGCAGGTTGGTCCATATCCGATACAGTAGCCCAATGTCAGTTTACGAGCTGCGCGTCGAGGAAGAAAAAATAACACCGAAACAGCTCGGACTTTTCGTGCGCGTCCACTTTTCGACGGCTCATAAAGTCAGTGTCGTAAAGTACGGTCGGATCTTCCGTGCGTATCGTCGAAGTCAGGTAATTTGAGTTTCATTCAAACACCTCATCGTTGTGGATGCTCGTACCTGCGGTTTCTGTTTCGTAGAGACCGACGACTCTCGCGCGAGTAATAAGCTCACGCGCGATGGTCGATCGCGATGACCGTCGGTAAACATGCCCATGTCGATCATGACTGCGTTTGTGCGTGTTCGTTCATTGGTCGCTTGCTTGCTTCGGCAGGCGCATAATCGTTGACAGCTTTTGAGTGATCGGGGGAGGAGCCGCTCATTCAAAGTCGCCTATCCAAGCTCGGGTCCGACTTCCTTCAGGCGAGTCCACAAGCTGAAAGTTACGCTCGAACTTTCAGATTTTCGATACTTTGGAAATGATTCAGGTAAGTGTCCGGGGTTTCATTCGAGGGAGCTGAAAGATATCGATCGATCGATTCTCGGCCAACCTATATCGCTTTTGTCGCCATATGCGTTTAATGGTCGTTACCTGAGTGGGTTCCGAGTCCCGACTCGAAAGTACAATATCATGCCCGAATTATCGCCCAAACATAACAATAATATACCCGAGATGAGCTCGATCTGGAGGCGAAAAATATAATTTCGCTTTGAGGCGTACCGTTCCGCTCCGAGCAGAGATCACGAGGATAGTGCATGGCGCATTCTCGAGCGAGAAATTTGCCGAGAGCGGGATAAGCGATGAGCCGAATGCATAATCGAATGCGTGCCCTCGCCGTCGAGTTGATGATGATGCGTGCCTTCAAGCTCAGGTCGAGCGTCCGAAGATTGGACCCTGCCAGAGATCCCCCGTGAACCGTATTTGCGATGACTGAGTCTAGAAGCACACAAATTCGGATCAACAGGGTAGGTCAGTCAGGGTATCGTTCAGGTTTCTGTGGACTTGGCGGCGGAGCTCGCATCGATTGCATTACGAACGCCAGCTCGTTCACGTTCAACATGGAAAGAAAGAAGAGAGAGTCGTCAATTCACATATTCCGGCGACCCAATTCTCCGGCGTTGGGCAGCTTCAAAACTGTTCAAACAATTTTTTTGAGCGGTCGATGTTGAGTCAAGATTCATCGACTCCCTTCGCTTTCGAGAGCTGTGCTCCAGCAGGGCCTGTTCTGCTGGCTGTCTCATGAAGAGACCGCTCGTTTTCGGCTTCTGCGTGGAGTTTTTTTCGGTGTTCACCGTCGATTCCAAGTGGTTCCTGGTTTCGATTGGGAAAATTAGGACCCTCGGAATCGCGTTTTCCATGCTCCATTCTCATCTCCAAGCCTCACGTTCAATTTTGATGTATTCGACTCGGATATGACGGAAGAGAGACGGCAGCACGAGAAAGCGGCTGGTCGGATCCTCAAGGAACCCAGCAAGCAACCAAACAAGCAAACGAGCGAGCTCCAAAAGAGGGAAGCCAGCCCCGATATTCTGACAGCTTCGAACGAACACAACGATTTCACGGCGAGCCGGCTGCGAAAAGCACAGAGGTGGGTTCCTGGTAGGCTTTAATTGGGACGAGCGACTTGGGCTCAGTGATTCACTCACCGAAAGCTTACTCTAGACTCGATCGACCTCAACGGGCTCACGGTCCCAAGAGACGTAAGATCGATCTTTCCGCTTTGACATGCCATTTGGATAAGTTCATTTAGCGTTTGTTGTCGCATTCCGCACACTTCATACCGCGGCGCAACGAGCCCAATCCGCGGAGGATTTCGGAACGACGAAGAAACCAAGCGTTCCGTCGACCGCTCGGGGTTGTCATCCCACAAACGCCGAGCGAAAAGAAGATCGACAGATAGGACGGACGAAGAAAGAGATTAGTGACGAGCTCGAGTGATTCGAGATGATCTAATCATCGAGCGCCACAACAATATGAACGGCTTAGACATTCTCATTATCATCATTGACGAGCGCTTCCGACAATATCCATGGGTTGCATAAAGGCGCGTGTAACTTGACTGATTTACGATACTCCAAAAACCGCGCCGAGGGAGACCGACTCCGGTCGACTGAGAGGGGAACTCCGAGACTGGGAAAAGCCGAACCGCCTGCCACCGATTCGTTTCATCAGAACACGACGAGTGACCCGCGGGACGATGACATTGAGCGGGGATGTCATCGCCTCACGACAAAATACGGAACAAGCGTTTCTCGGACTTTTCGTCCGGAACCACGTCCATGGACCGCCATTGGTGCCGTTTGAGAATTTCCCTCGAAGTCACCGATCGCATTGTCAAACAGTGACTGCGTCGCCTGTGCACACGGCCCGCAGGGGCTGCGACGGACGGACGGACGAACTCACCCATCTCCTTGACTTAGCTTTCAGAAGAAAAGTGTTTCTGCTGCAGCCGCTGGTGAAATTTGAGACTGACTGGAAGCCCGAAGCGGGCACATCGAAGCGGACGGCTAACCAAAGCTCCTCGATCCAAACGAAGCCGCCGCCATTTTGGTTCTGCGCTCCTCATTATGTGAGCAGCAAGCAGCCTGGCCGACGCTCACAGGGACAGCGGCGCGCACACGGCCTCACACACACACACTCACACATACATATACAGGCACACACTTTTACACACTCACATTCCCACACAAACACAGTCATACACACTCACACGAACAGATACCCAGTCAACCAGGCCAGCCAACCAGCCAGCCAGCCAACCGGTCTGCCGCACATTTGCAGGATGCATGGCAAAGACATATTATCCCCTTCCTGGAACAGCGCGTTCCGACGGGGTGGGTGACAAAGGCACTCGGTAGGCCCGTAGGCTTGCAAGGGACTCTTCGCGTCGTCCAGACAGTGAGTCGACGAATCAGTGAGTCGTTTTCGAAGCCGCTATCGCCGCCGTACCCGATTTGCAAGCGCCGTGCTGCTAAACGATCATCATCAGTTGCGGCGGCAACCTGCGGCGGAACTGACGTGTCGGGAGGGAGCTCTGAATCGTGCGATTTCCATTTGCGTGACAAACGTGCCTCAATGTGTCTCTTTACAATCTGTGAAAAATTCAAACTAGTTTATTGCTGTTCCCTGACGTGGTTGTCGGTTGTCGTCGAAGTCGTTGTTGGCATTGGAGACGCGAGTACCGGCACTGACGTCGCGACTTCAGTCGACGGCAGCCGCGGGAACGTCCGTCTTCGCTGTTGCTGCCCATACAAGTTGTACTTCGTGCTCGAATACGAGAAGTGAGCGTGTGCGTCTTCGCCACAGTATTCTGGTTCTTTTTTCCGGTGCAAAGGCACATGCAATCATGGATCGGAGCCCGTTCCGCCTTTGGAAAATCAAAATGACCTCATATGAGGATTTATCCCCCCCAGCCGATGGTCTCGGAACTATCAGCGTTCCAGCTTGTTATGCATGAACAATCGATTGTGCTCTCCCCATTCCTTCTCGACCACTGTAGACGGATGGAGCTGTTTTCTGCTCAGTGCGTGTAGCGACCGCTCATGCTTCCACTTCTTCTGCCGCTTGGTTCCGAATACGTCCGGAGTATGTTCCAGCACCTGGCCTGCCGAGTTTTGAGCGAATATCGCTCTTGCAAGCACCAGACTGTTTCTAGGATTCCGAGATGAATCTTATTCATCTCGAAGAATTGAAAAAGTTTATTTTCGCACCCTCGATGCCGGAAGGGGAGATTTGGTTCGAATTTATGTGAGCCATCGGGACCGATGCCGCTACCATGACAAACCCTTTCCTTGTTCGCTTCGGATCGTAAATTTCTAATAGATTTCCCATGACTTCGACGATTCCGTTTTCACGCGCTCCGGCGATCCGTTTATCTTGTTTATTTACGCTTGTATTCAGCGTCGTCGAAGATCAAAGACTTTTACTTCATAGCGGAAAACGACGTTTCGAAGAATGTGTTTACATTCGTTGATTCCTCGTTCTTTTTTAGGACTCTACGCAATTCCGAAATCCGAGTCGGCCTATTATTGCGCTTGCGGAGCCGCTGATGCTTTATTCGCTGTAGATTCTTGGCAATGAATTCCCATTCCCTCTTCTCCCGTTTCCCTCGAATTCAAGCTTTATTCCATCTTTTCCTCGTTCGATCCCATTCCCTAACTAAAAGGAGTTTCGAATTTCCGAATTCGGGTTCAGGTGATCCTCAGAGGGAGCTCAATCGTATGTAGGATCTGATCTAGATTTCATTGGACCACAAAGCTCCTTGGGTGGAGAGGCCGTTCGAAGCGGCGAAAATCATCGGAGAGCCTTCGAAAGCATCAGCTGATAAACATTGAGAGAGAATGCTGGTGAATAAGGAACAACTCCCACTCCAGGACAGTTTGAGTCGGAGACCAATATCCTTGGACTAGACGAATCTTAACCTCTCTCATAAGCAGCCGCAGTGAATAGGGCATCTTCTTCTGGCTCATCAAAATAGCGCTTGGTCTTCGCATGCAGATACTAATAAAACTTTACAACCTTTTTCCCAATAATTACTCGATGAGATAACCGCTCAGACGCCGTAAAGTCTTGATTGAGCAGCGAGACGCCAAAAGTCTGCAAATCCAATGAGAGATGATATGAATGAGCAGTCAATAGGAGCGTCTTCAGTGCTCATCCAAGGAGAGGAGAGCGCTCGTATTCTCACGCATCTCAAGACGCGAGTCTCGCTCTGGAGAGCGCTGCGCGGAAATATCTGTCCTCAAGCGTCTAGCCTGACGGGTACATGACGATTCGATCTCGGGAGCTGTCCCGGCAGAAGGACTGATCAGCTCGTTGACTGATTGAGTGACCGATGGCTTCCGAATGAGCGTCGTTCCCAGAAATCACTCAGCGGCCTGCGACTTCTGAATCTCTGCCCTGACAAACGATGAATGATTCGGCTCGAGAATCTCTCTAAGTATCGTGAGTTTTCCAGGTTCCCCAGTACCCGGATGAGGGACGAATCATTTTCAGATATCCATGGCGAAACCAAGAAAGTTTCCCTTCGATTTCCCCTGGACTAGGCTCCGTTTCGAGAGGAGTCCAAGAGCACGAATGGGCCGACAAATGACAAATATATTTGAAAAAATAATTAAAGATAAAGCCATTCGGTGAAATAGTTTCCTTCGAGTCCGGGGAGACCGGGACGGGAATTGACGACTCGGCAAAGTCTTCCCTCGACTGGGAGTGACTTCGAAACGCGTCCCGATTCCCGATAGATGGGAGCCAAGTCGCGGGATTCACTCGAATTCAACGATAAGGCGCGAAAGAAACAAACTCAATGGGTCGCGACCGCGGTTGTGTCTTCTCGGAGCTCTATGCCCTGCTCATTTCATGGTCAGTCCGAGTCAGTGCTGCTCGTGAGGCTCGTCGACCGTCGAAAGACGAGCTGGCGTAGCGAAAGTTGCGGTGAACCCGGCCCGGGTTCTGTGGTATCTCCGTGTATGCGAATCAACGAACAGGCGACCATTCGCGCCGTGAGATCGTTTTGGGGTGGCTCTGCTGCCGCTGTCACAGGCGGCCAGACGGACGGACGGATGCAGGCGGTTGAGCGACGACGACGAAGCCGCCGAGCGAGCGAAAAGAGGAGTCTGAAAGACCAGTTCTCTCCCTTGGTCGTCGAGGCCGGTGATTGGCCGCCCGTGTGGTTGAGGGGTTTGGACGCCCAATGAAAACTCGCGGCCGGCTTGTCATGGATCACCATCATCATTCGTCGTTGTGCAGGCAATGATTATGACTATATGCGATGATGGCGGTGGAGATGATTGGTTCCAGTGATGGAGTTGATGCCCTGGCGATGTCGCTGGTGATAATGATAATGGGAGAAACGCGCTCCTACTATTGTATTCCTCCTTGTCATCATGGATCTCTTTCATCGTTTGCCGTCCGGCTCCCTACCCTGAACGAGGAAGAACCTCCCGGTGTTGATGTCATCCTCAGAGTGAAGCGTGTGGCTTCCGAGGAAGCTCCGGGAGACTTCGAGCAGACATCCACGGGAACTGAGATAAAGAATCGGAGTCGAAATGCAATGCGCCTCCGATCCCTCTGAACTCAATAGCCTACGAATATTGAAGCTCGCATTGACTCCTCCGCAGTCGATATGGGGGAATCTGCGACTTTCTTAACAGGAGTAATAATCCACCAGAAATTTGATCAGTTTCGTTCTTCGGGTCGGTTTTTTGATCCCATGCTCCTGGTGTTCGGTCCCTAGGCCTTGCCTCGCCGGATACCCTCCCCTGAGCGTGAAGCGCACCCGTTTTCTGGCAGGACCATGGCCGCGCGAGAAAATTTATCCTCTGTTCGCTCAATCCATCAATCCGCCTGGCTGCTGGTCCCTGAGCATTGATACAGACTCATAGGCAAGGAGGGAAATGGATCGTTAGAAAATTAAATATTCCCAGATATCTTATCCTTCGTCCAATCAGTGACTTAAGCTTCCCGGATTCGGAAGCGCAGGAGGACATTCGCATCGGAGGATTTCGGATCCGTAAGAAATGAGCCATTTAGGCTGCAGTATCCTAAACGGCTGAATAGATATGCCTCTAGATGAGAAGACGGCGCGGCCTTGCGTACAGCATAACTTCATCCAGCGATTCGTCCTCGGAATACGGTTCCTGGGCTCTTGTGATTCGAGACGTGGGAGGGGGCCGACAGAGCCGCGGCTGGCCGGAAATCACTGCGCACTGGCCTAGCTTCCCGTAGATTGTATTTTCCATGTCTGCATTCTGAAAATTCCGCTTCGTCGGAGAAGACCCAATCATGCTTTGAATGTGTGTGCTCCCTGCCCCTCTCCAACTTCACCGCATGTGAGTTTCGCGGTTGCGGTCCGAGGATTGGGTCACGGAAATCGGTCGGCCTTGCCTTCATTACAGCATCGAAGCAAGCATTTTCCCAGATTGGTGGGGAACCAGCGGAACATGGGAACCGAAAAATTGTTGTGTTGCGTTGCCTCGCTGAAGGGGTCTGCGCATCTAGGGCCAGGCCGACGCGAGAACGAAAGCTACGAGAAGCTCCCCGGGAGAAGATTGTTCCCTCCCGATAGCCATTCCAGGACCACGTGATAATTCGCCGAGCGGCTGCGAAGAACGAAAGCCGATCTCAGGTATTCACCATTCACCTCACTTAAGATTGAATCTGATTTTTTCGGGAGCAACGCATAAGACGCTTCATTGGACCGGGTCGAGCGAGTTATTGGGTAGTGCTTCAAATGGAGCATCCTTATGGAGCGTTATCATCAAGCCGGGAAAGTACCGTATCGAATACAAAAACATTTTCATTGTCTGCATCCTGATTGAAGACTTTTCGGGATCGAAATCATGCTCACGACGATCCCTGACTCTGGTAATTCCGCCGTCGGAGACGTCGATTTCTAAGGCTCGACTGACAAACAATTCTCGCCATGTCTCATGTCTCATATAGCCCAGTGAGAGAGATGACACAAGTACCGAGGACGGATCGGCCCTGTCCGAAAGTCTAAGTCTGGACTCCACCAGACTGCGGGAGTTTCCGCGAAATTGCTTCTCGGCATCCCCAGGACCGTTCTCAATTCACTATCCATTGAGATCTGCGCTGGCGTTCCTTCAGCTCCGGTATGTGATAGAATGGAAAACGGATCGGATAGGATCACCGGACAATTCCTCGAGCATACTTGTCGGATCCCCATTCGTACCCCCTCGACTATGTTCGTCAGAGTTACTAGCTCATACTATATACTTATCATTGAGTTCGAGTTCCTACTCTTCATATTCTGTGTGGAGGCCAAGATCATGAGTTGGGAACAGGGCCTGCACCTCGCGATCTCTATTTCGGAGCGGGGTGCACACCAGCGTGTTGAAGCCAACGTCACATGCTCTTGTCCAACCATGTGATCGCATTTCGTCCGTGAAAGCAGACTTGTTCGCTGCCGGACTTTCTGTTTCTCATGAAAAATGCGGACCAATGCATGTAGTCAACCGGAACTGTTTCGAAGGAAGTCCCTCGTCATGGACGGAAACGGCGATTATAAGCGTGATTTGTCACCTCTCATCGAAGGTTAGAAGTTAGAAGTCGCCGAGCGCGAGCCTCTACCCAGTATACCCTTCTATCCAAGCTCAGGAATCACATTGCCTTTCAACACAGATCTACGTGCCGCATTTCCGCGACCGTTTCCAGACGACTCGTCTTGAGTGAGCTCGTAATATCGCTCCGTCTCCTGTATGCCAGCATGAAGGCGCAGACTGAAAATTCGAAATTTTATGCAGATCTACGACGCTTGGCATGCGAAGGTGATTCTAATCAGGAGAGCTTCGAGACTGCGATCAGGGATTTCGTTGACTCGACCGACCGAATCCAGGAAATTCGAAGAAACAAGGAAGGGGTGTTTTCGAAGCTGTATGAGCAGTTCAAGGATCACGAGGTCGCTTCTGAACTCATCATAGAAAACGGTGATCACCCCGGGAGTGAGAACTTGTTGGGAGTGGGAGCGTGTCGTCCAATTAGAGATGAGATTAGAGTATTGGAGTATGAACGACTGCTGCTCTACTCATTTGAGGATAACGAAATCATTCGGGCCGCAGCAACGACTGGACTCTCCGATATCTGCGATTTGGCGGTGACGAAACGTCCGTTTTCTGCCGTGTGCTCAAGCCCACGGGATTTATCCCCACCCCGTAGACGAATTTGAGATCCCGCAGCGCTGGCTCTATAAGAGGCGCAAGGGACTATTCTGAGGGAGAAAGACTGCTATCTGAGTGAGGTAGAGAGACTCCTATGTCAGGTGCAAGGTCGCATCAACTCTGATTGAAGCACCTGAGGAATGCCCCCCGGCATGGGATAGCATGCCATACCCCTCAGATGGGGAATCGATTCAGTTCAGATTCAACAGTCCGTCCCCCGCCAGAATTTATGGATGAATCATGCGAATGAATGAGTAGAGTAGAGTGGAGTGGACCACAGGGGTGAAGTGAAAGAGCTAAATGAACAAAATCGGATTCCCATCGTGAGATGGAGTAGAGATTGGAGGGATTGTAGACAGTAGGTCGCTACCATGGGTAAGCTTTGGGGGAAAATCCGTTTCTGCCTACGGTCCATGAAGGATCTTCGTCTCTAGCGGAGCTTTTCGACGGCACCTTGCACCTTTTACGAGCGGAGAACGCGGAGCTCTCGACTGTTGAGGAGCGCGAAACGTTTTTGAGGGAGAAATCCCTGTTGGAGGAAGCCATTGAGAAATACCAGAGGGAGATATCCGATCTCGACCGTGAACGCTTGGTCCAAGAAGAGGTCATGAAGGTGGGTTTTGGAAGATTCTCGGATGAAACGAGCTTTTTACTGTGTCAGAATTTGTGGATGAAAATCTACTGGTAGAGACGCCCACTTGAGAGAAGAATCCTGCCACACTGTGATTTTCGGTCCATAGTACAGATTTGATCGTATTCACAGAAAAAGCATGTCGATGACAAAAGTCGGCTGGAAGAGTACAAGCGGACCTTGGAGTGTCAGATAGAAGCGTGCATGCAAGATTTCGAGCGACGGCAAAATGAACTCAAGGCATGTTCGGTGCCAGTCCCTAATGAAGCTTACTCCTAGGTCGGAAGCGTCTACCCTGACCGAGGCTCAAAATTCACGGGCATTTTCTCGACCAGGTGAAGCAAGATTTAGTTCTTGCTGAAATCTCGGCGAAGTTCCGAGCTCGGCTGTCGCGGATAGGAGAGCTCGAGGATCACAAGGAATGTGCATCAGAACTGGCGTCTTGGAGATGTAGCTGGAGGCAAGCGCTACAAGGGTAAGCCCTACTCGCAGCTGAGAGATCCTCTTATTATAAAACCTCCGGTCAGAACCCATTCCCCTGTCGAAAGGCCGAACCGGGACCGACTGCCGACATTCTGCCTCAAGCACTTCGGACTCATAGAATTGGAAAATCGCTCCGATTTCATAATCCCTATCGAATACCGTAGATTGGAGCAAGCGATCGAGCGTTTGAGGACTGAAAATTCGGCATTGAGAGGGAGACGAAAAAGAGTCGACGCGGGGATGCGAGCAGCAAAGAGGAGAGGACGCGGGCGAGCTAGCGAAAGTGAGCGAGCTGCCATAATTTCTCATTAGGCATCCGCCGCAACCGTGCAGACAGCGTGTACGATGGCGAACCTCGGCTAAGGTGCTCCAGGATAGTACTCGTTCCGAGTTGACCGCACAAATGAGGAATGAGGCTCAACTGAACCGAGTCCGATGTTTAACCGAGTCATACGGCTGGCGATTTCGAGACAACCAGGAGAAAGGCACGGATAGTGAAATGGGGGCATATTCTAGTTCCGCGGTTTTACAGATTCCACTCGTTGTGAGAGTTTGGCTCCGTTGCCAGGAGAAAACACGGCAGGGATTGACGCGCTGGAACAGATCCCGGACTCCGGCGGAGATTCATCGGAAGGGGATTCTTTCTTCCGATGCCCTGGTACTACACTCTCTACACCGCTGAAATTCCCTAGTTCCCCCAGAGAAACTTCTAGATACGCGCAATGAGATGACTCGAAACCATTGTTTCCAGGATCTGCCGACGAGGTTTTCGATGACGGATCCCCCGGAGACTCAAGAACTCCAGCGTCAGTCGGCAGAAGGTGAAGTTGCCCTTATGTGTATCACATAGTCTCCCGGATTGATGAGCACGACGAATCTAAGATATTCCAATCGCAGACGACTTTTCTCTGATGATGAACTCGGAGAAGAATGCCTTGGCTGTGTAACCGAGCCAGCACACAGGACTATTGATGCTTATCTCATGTCCTTGCGAAGAGTGGTCTCCGAGAATACAAGAGAAGAGAATCGACAAAGAGCAAAACAAGCCCGAAAGAGCGCACATCTTTAAATTCCCCTTCCAAACAGATCGAGTTCACCGAATGGTGGTGTGAACGATCGCAGGTCATTTTGATTTACACTCCGACTTCGATGTCTTCCGAACGCATACTCATTGAAGGGGAGCAGGTGGAATTCCCAATATTCACGGCGGGAGGTCTAGTCGGTTGGAAGAATAAATTCCTCGTACTTTTAGATTCGATACTTCGATGGGATGCCAGGTGGCGACACTCTGTCGATCTTGGAATGAAAGAAGCGAACTCCGGGTCGAAGCCTCCGTGGGCTCTGCTGAGCCCCATGGAATCTAGACAGATTCTGAGATTCCGATCCACCGTGGAAGCCATCAAGGGAAAATATTTAGGATTTTGTTGTGGGAGTAGCCTGGTTTGACCCGATCGCTTCATTCTCGTTTTCCCTACAATTCAGAAACTAACTCAAGAACTGCTGGTTTTCTCGAGAGCCCGTGATTGGAGGAGGATGGTCTGGAATTAATGACGCTCGCAGTTATTTTGATATACAGTAAGACCTCGCTCATCGCGACCTCATTCATCGCTACATCGCGTTTTTTCTGCCCCCGAGCATAAAATTATGGAAAACGAAGAATCGCCGCGCATACTGCGAGCAATGCCTGGCGTAGTCGTTAGGATGCACGGAGAGGTTCCCGAGAGATTGATGCGAGCTCTGGAAGTAGAGACGGCATCTCATAACTCGGTGCATGCAGACGTCTTCAGTTGGCGGGAATCATCGAGTTGGACTGATAGAAGGAGCCCTAATTTATATGTAGTCTATGAAGCGCACAGTCTCAAGAATTGTGCATTGTGACATATTAGCTCACCACAGAGACTGGTTATTCATGAAGTGAAGGATAACTCTTTGGACAATAATTGTCCTCTATTAGCTGAGAGCGTGGAAGCTCCAAGTCGGAATACCACACCCCAGGATTACCGAATCCTTCTTCGCGGGTTCCCTCTTATCGCGGAAGCCTCCGGAACCGATTGACCGCGATAAGCGAGGTCTTACTGTACGTAAGCTGCAAAGGTTGATCCCCGCACAAGAGGCCAGCCGTTCTTCCACGATGCCGAGGCATTACCGCTACAGTCGCCCGTATGAGCCATCCAATCCCGGATGAGCTGACGGATCGAGGGAAAATCATTAACATAAGCTCGCTTGGTTCTATCGTCCCCCTAATCACGCCCAGTCATTCGCTATTCCTGTATGATCTATCATATTCGATATTTGATGTCGCCTTTAGAGATGCGCTGTACGATCTTTGCATGGTACTTAAGAACATCCTCGTAGAGATGGCGAACTCCAAAGCCTGACATGTTTTTGTCCAGCCATCGGGACCGGGATGTCGAGTAATCCGCCCGAACGTACTGGCCTTGCTCCTGATTCGAACCCCCCCCCCCCCGCCAAACAAAGACCCTAGGCATTGTCAGAGGCCTTTCTCCTCGGGAGAATGGTACCGGTTTCCAGAGCCATATAGGCTTTAATCAATATTATCCCCTCCCCACACGGCCAGATTTTCTCGGGGAACGCTCTCCGTAGGGTGGAAAACTTTAGTACGACGGCCCTGGCGGCATCGACGTCGAATCTATTGTGGCGGAGGAAGCTTGGCAGGAATCGATCGTTTATGCTATGACAGCGCGGCTGATCGCTGCTCTCGAGACAAGGCCCCTTCCTCTCGGGTCTAGGAAGGGCAAGCGCACGTCTCTCATTTTTGACGACCGCGTGGGGTGGAAGAGGTCTCCCGAGGTCTCATGCATATGCTCAAAAAGTGAGTTCAGGCATGAAGTCTACGGGTTGGTTTCCTCCTGACCCTGTCCGAGAGAGTCGGAGATGATCGAAATAGGGTTATCTATTACTACATCTGATTACCAGGAGGACGGCATTTCGCCTGTCGTTCCTTCCAGGGAATCGATAAGTCGATCGCTCCCGCGCTGACTCGTTCAGATTCCGAGGCTGCATAACATCTTCGATGGGGACAGTTAATCGGAAATTCGAGTCGACCACATCGGCGAAGAAGGTCCTTCAGGAGGAAGATTCCAAAGGCGACCGAGGCTTGTCTCAGTTCAAATAAGTTTCGCTTCCTCGAAGCTCCTTTGACCTACGATGACAGGGTTTTCCCTGGAACGACGGCGTTTGGTGCATCGACGATCAGCCTTCTGCTCCTTGAGGTTGTGTTCTTGAAGAAAGCCAGACCTGCATCCTATATCTAGAACGGTAGTGAGTCCAGCATGAGAGTGATTCAGCCTCCCTCAGAAGATCAAGGCGAGCGAGGACAGAGAGGACATCGGAGAAACAAAAATCTATTACTAGCGGACTCTGCGCCCGCGAGACGAGGTCGCTTGAGTTCGTAGGCGACCGACCAATGCAGTCAGGGCTCCGGTGGGGATGCTGACCCAGAGACTGCGGCTGAATTCATCGCGTTGTAATTATTTACGTGTTTATTCCATTATCCGATCTGCACATCTGATCAGCTCTTCAGGAACGATGAGCTATTTGAAGCCGTAATAACTACGTTCCTCGATTTCTTTATCGTGGTGGAGCATTTCCTCGTAGAGCCATCTCGAGCTGAAGTTCCCATCGCATCCACCATACTCCACCGGCAGGACATCTGGATCGACTCTCTGATGGAGGTTCGAGAAGGATTCGTCCACGAAGAAGCGACTCCTCAGCTTATTGGTCAGGAGGTACTTCACCAATTTCAACACGAACTGGAACACAGTCGGCACATTCACGAAGTGGATGGCTTTGACCCTGACTGGGAGAGCTCCTGTTAGAATACGCGCATACGTCCGGACGGCACGCAAGTCGCAATACGGTAGATGGCGCGCTTCAAACCCCGCTAAATCCATGATGCATGTCCAACCGTCGGAGTCTTCGACGTCTTCCTTCATGTAGAGGAAATACTCCGTCATATAGAGGCTCCACGCGAAATAATCCGCCAGATCGTACACGCCCTCCTCGGGCTTCCAGAGACCCTTCCGCCACGCGAAGATCCAGGTGTTGTCCCGCGGGTTCTTCCTCGGAAGCACGGAACAGTTATTTAGGGCTGCGTAAGCTTCCATCCACTGGATACCTCTTCCACGGGGCCAAATCTTCTCAGGGAACTCTTTACGAAGTCCGTAGTACTTCAGCACAGAGGCGAACGCTGCTTTGACGTCAAACTTCCTGTAGCGGAGGAAACTCAACAAAAATCGGTCATCCGTGCTGCAGACGATCTTATCTTCGATTTGAGCCAAGCTCTCCCGCAGCTCCAGCACAGCGACTTCAGGTGCAAGTGGAGCCATCTCACAAGTCGAAGCAAAACTCTGGCTCGATCCGTGGGTCGCAAGGATGCTATGAAGTGCTGTGAAATTCACTACTGTGCACAAAGCATCGCAGTCCCCCGCCATTTATAGTGCGTGGATTCCGGAGAGAGCCCTCCCTAACGAGCATCAATGAAGCTCCGAGCTCAGAGTCCAAATCCTTCGCTTCCGAGATTGACTTCGGTTAGAGGTTTGCTCTCTTCATCTGATATCCTTCATGCGGCTGTATGCCGTAAAAAGCAGAAACTCACTGATTACACTACATTGCGGGCAAGGCTTCGGAAATCATGGCGTACGCAGTACCCCTGACTCGCACTCGCTCGAGGTTCATCGTTTCGAAGAAATTATCGCGGCGATCGGTGTTTCGGGGCGGTGTTTGATCGAAGTGACTCCAGAAATCTCTCGCACTCTCGAAACTCCGAAACTCGTCCGGCGCCCGTCGCCTGTTTGAGACTCTGATGATGGTCCAAAATCTCCTACGGACCACCCTCTCCATATATCATTATCAATGAATACGAAAAAGTCTCCGATTATTCTCATATACTCGAAAACCGCGCCGACCAGATTTCGAGCATTCTAGCTCATCTTCGCGCACACTGAATTTATCGTTTCCAGTTTACGACTTCCACGGAGAATGTTGGAAATCAGCGAGGACATGCTGCTCAGCTCATGCGAAGAACGGGCAGGGTCACGATGACCATTCGTCGGGAGATCTCATCGCGACAAAACCTTCTCCGGCGTGGAGAGTCCATCTCACATTCCCTCGATGGAATCGATAGATGCTCAATTCATGGAGGAGAGCTCTCTGCTTTATGTCACTGTCCTGCAACACTCAGAACCCCCGTGAGCTTCTCTCGTTCAGAGTTCGGTTTCAACGAGATTCCCCATACTGATGAAGCCAGCTTCCAGAAACCGAACCTACAGACCCGCTCGTGTCCCGTCTCCAACGATTCGCGCTGCAAAATCACGAAACTCTGATCGTCGGGCACATTTCCGGAGACCAGCTGCCCCCGACGGAGGTCTTTGGATCTTCCGGGGCGAGTAAGATCGATCGAGACTAATCCCTCTCAATGGTACCTATGCTGTTAGATGATCCTTGTGGGGATACCGGTTCGGTGATTCTCCGTATATATCTTCAGGTCGTTGGGGTAGCTATGGGACGGGCTCCGAACCTTCGGTCCTACGAAACAGGCGATGGAAAACACGGTCGGTTCGACGACGATGCACCCTACACGATTGCTAGGAACTGAATGCATGTTTATTGAGGGAGAGAGACGCCGGCTGTAGCGACGTGCAGTCGACATCTCTTAAGAATCGGAACGCAGATATCTTCCCGTTCGCTCGTTATTGTACGAAATTCTTGACAATCCTCATCACGCTTACTCAGGTCGCATCGGATCCTCACGGCTCCCAATGCCTCGGAAACCTAGCCTGCGGTCCTTGTTCCATGCGACTGAAACGCTATCCCGGAGATATCGACCGTTGAACACGTCGAGAGCCTTTCGAGCTGATCCCCTGACCCTCGAATTGGGACATAATCATCGTCCGTCTATGAGTCAGATACGGCTCTGGAGTAATCGCTGCCGAGCTTCATGCCCATCACAGATGGGAGCATATTTCCGTGACGTTTCACGTAACAGGAGCCAGAAATAGAGTTCTAAGGTGAAACGGGAACGCCCGATCGATAGCGTAGGCTCTCCACAATTATTGAATTTCGAGATTACGAGATTTCCCTACGCAAGCGGATGCGGCCTCGAGCCAGCCCTGATGAAAATTTCCAGAAGGCCGAATCGAGGTACTAAGCTGTCCTCAGAGAAACGGCAGACGCGAGCATCTCGGATGATAGTGTCTATTTAACAAGCACTTTCCCTAAACTGCAGCCGATTAACCGACTCTTGCGGTGAGTCGAGTGAGATTACCGTAGGATCTACCCGAGGAAAAACGAGTATTTCAAACGTATTCATAAATTCATGAGACGCGCACAAATGGAAAGCTTTCCCGGCGAATAGCGGAAGGTCTAAAATATCGGACTCGTTGATGAGAATTCGACAAAATTCGCTCGTTCCTCAATAAGTGCGAGCTGAAGTACTCCGGTCACTTCGACCACCGGGTGGATGACGTCAGAAGAACTTCAACGGAATAAAAACGATTTACCCCGATCGGCGAGAACTCTGTAGGCTTTCGAGCGCAATCGGCGATCTCCAATCTTTAGACAAAAGTCGGGGACACTGATACTGAAGTGTTCTGATGCTCCCTATCGTCAAGCGGACGCACAACTTCAACAAGTCCAAGTTCTGAAGATTTGAGATCCGAGGTAGTAAATTGAGCGTTTCTTTGGAAATCCGAGATGGATGCGGCCAACTGAGGTATTGAAGGTTCCTTAGCTTGTGAATCGGGAGTAAGCGTTGTTCGTCAGTTGTTCGGCGCCCTCTATCTTCAGATACTCTAGATTGGATGCGCCACGAATTATCTTCATCACATGGCCGTCCCTCAGGTTCCTGGCCAGATCGAGACGTAGATGTCTCAGCTCGGTGCATTTGCTTTTCGCGGCGTAGGATCTACCCGTAAGGCTGCGACAAGAGAACAATCGCATATTTGTGAGACTTGTGTAATACTTTCTCACGAGTCTCGAAATGATTCAATCGTCGCACCCGTCGAACTTCAACTCGATTTCCGCGATCTTGAGCCCCGATTCCAGTAAGCTTTCGATGACGTCCCTGGACGTGATTCCGATACACGTGTAACAATGGAGAGTCACTGATTCCAAATTGGCCATCAAGTCGAATAATCGGTCGTACGTTTCCTCCATAAACGGCAGCTCCTGCATATCCAAGATGTCGAGGTGTCGCACATTTATCAGGGCTTCCCGGAGCTCTCCAAGAGCGACGCTCCTCGGAGGTACCGCAAGATGCGACCCCTTATGCATAACCGGAAGAGGAGTCTCCGGTTTAATGCTTCCACGTAAAGCAGATCGAGCAATCGCGTATACATTTGGCGTCATGGATGCTCCC